TCCTGTGGGTTTAGGTTAGGTTAGTATATGACAAAGCTGCCAGAACCGAGTTTGTTTGCATTTTCTAGTTGGTTCGACCTCCTCCTGTGGCACGTTAGGTTAGCATATGCAATTAAATATTCTGCTTAAAGTTTTAATAAATATATTTTATAACACAAAAAGCACTTAAAACTATACAAAAACAATTATATTTTGCGATTGTAACATTTAATGGAATAAAAAAAAATCTTATCAACATAACGTAGGGCGCTTCAACTATTCGCAAAACGAAATATTGTGTTATATTATTTAATACATTATACTGGTAGTACTTACATCATTTGTTCATTAGGACACTTAATCATTATGTCTAATGTTCGTTATACTGAAGGTGCAATATACACATTGAAATTATGCCTTCTGTTGTTATACCTTTTGTTGATTATATACAGTGAGTCCTTACAAATTATATCAAATGTTATTATACCAAGTGAAAATAAATTATTTGTTGTTATATCTTCCGTTACGCACCCGATAAATCCATTTTATTACATTTCACCCACTTTCCGTTAGCCGATTCCAATAAAACTTGGCAAATGGATGAGTAATTCCACAAACTTTTGAGGTCGGTTTAAAAAAAATAATTAGTTCACTAATTGTGACTGCAAAAATGGCGCGTTAAGGATGCTACCTCCGCATCCTGAGGAGTTTGATTTTATTTTCTAACTAATTTCGAGTTTGTACGTGTAATACCTCACTTAGCCTTATTTATTAAATTGTAGAATTACAACTTTTAGCACATTCGTTGTTACTTTAATTAATATATAAGCTTCACTGTAGTAATACTCTAGCTTGTTCTTGTACCAGACTTCAGACTATACAATAAACTAGCTCCCGTAAGACCGCCTTTTACATTTCCTTAAATCGCGCGTGTCACAAACAGAGGCGCTCTAAATATTGTATGAAAATTAGTAGCAGCGCGGTAACAGCGTCACTGCAGCACTTCTATAAACAACTAGTGTGAAGGGATCCTAAGAAACTTTAGAGGTTGCTCTTGGAAAATAAATATTTGTACATATTTATCGTTTACATTATTTATTTCAAATATCATAGTAGGAGACGTCCTGCAAGAATTTGGGAATTTATGTTTTTATTAATCGAATCTTCATCGTTAGCGAAAGATGTTGCTAGAAATTAAAGTTTCAAGTAACTGTGACCTCCAAAATTCGCTTCAGGTGGTTAAATAAAAAACTACAATATTAATAAATGATATATTATTCATCGTATATAACTTTTTTACCAGTGAACGGGATCGGTGTGTGCATGTATCCGTACTGCTTTAAGCTGGGTCCGTAATCGAATTTAGACTTCTTGTATTTAGGTCTGGGTAAAATGGGAGCGAAATCGTCCCTTGGTGGTCTTTCCCAATTTGCTTTTTGTCTATTATTATCTGATTTCGGTCTATCATTGCTTATTTTTTTAACTGCACCTCGATCATTATCTGCTTTTTTTGGACTACCCCAATCAT